CCTTTTCAGAATCGATCTGTCAAAAAATTAATTACAAGCAAAAGCTGTAACGGGCCGCCCGCACCGATGGACTAGGATGCACAGCCATGATTTGATCTCCGAGTCCACTCTGCTTCCTACAGGGACCATGAATTCCGAAGGACACGCTGGCTCTCTTCCTCCCGAGCTCTGGCTTTACATCCACCGACTGGCCACTTCCGACACCTCACCCTTGGCCTGATGTCACGCAGACTGGTTCCAGTACGTGCCTGTCGCCGACCCACTGAGAGACGTCGAAAATTTCTGGCGTGTAAGCTAGCACATACCGTCATGACAGACTCAATCTCTAACGTCTCGTCCAGGACGCATATTCCTTCGTGCTGGTATGCAGGCTGTGGCATGGCCTGGCAAACGAACTCTTATATGAGAACATCCGAGTCGATGACCGCTTTGATGCACTCTGCGCTTCGTTGAGGAGACTGGGAAATGCGGATTTCGTTCGCAGTGTGAGGTTGTCTTCGATCTACATCGAACGAAACTGTACTATCCTCGCGCTATGCCCCCGGCTCCAGGTCATTGTCAAACCGGACCCCGTGAAGGAGAAACCGTGGGCGTTCGGCGTTCTGGACTCCGTCATCGATGCAGCACTGCGCTTGCCATTTTACGCGCTGAAGCACATCTACTGGGGTGAGACGGCAAGGGACTCTGCTCTCTTGCGCAGCTTGATTGCAGTTGCCCCACACCTCGAATACGTATTCCTGTCCAGTTCCACTGTAGTGGTCACCGACTCGGAGGCTCGCGCTTTCCAACCTATTGCGAGTCTCAGGCGCCTTACACTCGTCTCTGCCTCAGCAAGCCTGACTGCATCCATCCTGAAGGCCGACCTGCACAACCTCACACGACTCAACTGCTCCCCATCACTCTTCACAATTGCCAATGTTCCCGTCTTCGCTTCCCTGCGCGTGCTGGAGCTCTTCGGCTCGGGCTCCTCCATTCCCTTCAAAGCCATCTTTTCGCGCTGTCTGCGCCTCCGGGAGCTCTGCTACGACTTGTGGAACAGCCTTTCAGCCCCAGAGCCTGAGCCATCGCTCCCGCTCTTGTCCTGCATCCGCCTGCATTCCGCAGTCACCGTCGTCCGAGATTGGAGTAGCATCCACAACCACTTCGGGCTCTTCATCTCCCCGGACTTTCCTAGGTTCCAACGACTGGTGCTCCATGGCAGCTGGTACTAGGTCCTTGATAATGCCGCGTTCATGACCTTTCTGAACTACTTACGGCCGAAAGGGTGTCAGGTTGAGTTTCCCGAGGGCCATGTGCGCTGACCAAACACGTATGTTATTATACCCAGGACAGCATTGGATGGATGCTAAATCAGATTATAGTTGTAGTCCGAGGTCATGCAGCCACCCCCATCGCCCGTGTAATACTCCCAGTGCCATCGATATCAGCGCATTGGAAACCGGCTTTCCTTCTCTAGTTTTCGATTTTACATGAAATTCTCTGCGGCAGTAATGTACTTCCCTTCTTCGCGTCGTTCGACCCTTTTACATCCTGGTTCTCACCATTCCAGCCTCCCTTCATGGCCGGGAATCCTTCAGGACCTCCCTCCCGCTAGTTCATGGATCAGGAACCACATAATAGCGTCACTTGTGATAATAGCGTCACTTGATAAACAGTGTCATGTTCGTTGTTCGTGCTACGAGCGTGGGTAGTAGTCGCGACGGATACACGGATGGATACGCGGGTACAGTACTCCTCCTTTCCAAATCGACCCCCCAGTGGGTGAAAGTAGGATATTATATTATTTCCAGTCAAATAAACAACTGGATATGAATGTTGATCTGACTCGACTCAACCGTCCGCGCACATATTGCCCAAATTCGAAGTGATGCGACCTGTTACCATCCCGTTTATGCATTAACAACGATCCTAGTGAATGAAGAATTAGAACGAGCGCTTGACGGGCACTTCCATGATGCGATGAATGATCGGAGCAGTGTTGTCATTGAGATTTTTCTTTTGGCGTTTGAAGAAAATATTACCGCCATCTTGGTCGCACTTGGAGTGCTCCGCATCTCATTATAATTAACATCCCGACTCTGCTTAATTCTATGTGCAGCCCTCACCCGGTCGACTCGGCCTGAGCGCTGAGCAGAGCCACGGACAGTCCAAAAACAAAAATTTCTAACACCCACGGAAATATCAGAGAGGTGAAAGAGAGACGGAAGTGGGCACAGAAAGGCTTGGTCGCACTCGGAGTACTCTGCAACTGATGTCTCATGTGATCACTACTTAGTGTGCAGACGAAGCCCGTTTGACTCGAGCCTGAACCATACTTGCTTTGTGTCAATGTTTTTGAACATAGTAGAAATAATACCAGGTTTATGAATCTGTGAATAGAGGGAGAGAAAAGCTCGTTAGCACTCGGAATTTATGCTTTCCCTTGCCTATACTGGATTATTTAATTCAATTTGACAGGGGGTGTGACCCGTGACCTGAAAAACCATTTCGACACTTCAACAAGCTCTGGGTGGGACCGTGACATGACTATAAAATTTTGACACACGTCAAACCGTTGACAATGAGTTCCTAGGGCTTCGGGAAACCACTATTCAGATTCTGCCACTAATTTCTTGTCATGTAGCCTATTTTACTTCCGAAGGAGTTTACTGCTTAATATCTAGCCAATTATGGCTTTGACAATTGAACCCGTAGTTTAACAGGAGGTTGAAGAGCCAGCCAAATCGTGACTCATGGCTTGTGGATTTCTTTTGTCTACTTGAGGATATTAGATGTGTTTGTACACCTTGTGAAGGATCTGCTGTTTACGAGCCTTCACTACATTTTGATGGTTCTGAACTGCGCTCAACATTTTTAACTCAACTCTTCCGCAATGCCCTCCACCTACATGATCTAATGGCTCAACTCAGCAACACAGAGTTTCTCAAGGCCATAATTTCTTCCCGACCAAATGTTGCACTGGTAGCAAAATTTGCATTTGATGCGCTACAATTGTTCTACGCAGTTCCTGTTTTCCGTGCTTGAGTTTGTTTCAAGGTTCTGAGTTTCCACTAACTACTTCTCTATTCTTCCTTTAGTTCTACCGCAGCGTGTCGAGAGATAGTGTCCGTGAGCTCGGCTACAGGGAATATGGAGAAGTCCAGGGACCGTAGTGTACACTAGTGCCCTGTACACTCAGATACTTCCTGGGCCCCGGCGTTCCTAAGTGGGACCGTGCCGTGTAATCTTCCTTCCTTCCTTCCTTCCTCGGACCTAGCCTGGAACCCATCAGTCCAGGTATGCCGAGCTTTTGCCGAGATGTCTTAGGGTCTCTCGGCTAACCTAGACACAGCCGCTTGGCATCTCGGCAAAGCAGGGCAAAGCCTCGGCATACCTGGGCTAAGGTGGATCCAGAACCTGTCAAAATGCAGTGAAGCTTTTTTGAACCATGAAACTAATTTGACACTTCGCGCTGTGACCCGTGACATGGGTTCAAATTTCGTCTTTGACAGGGGGGGCGTGACCTGTGACCGACGAATTGAATTTAATTCTCCAGTACAGGAGGTGCCCATTCAACTCGGGCCTGACCCATGATCGCTTTGAGCAATTCTTTTTGAACATAGTAGAAACAATACCAGGTTTATAAATTGGTGAACAGAGGGAGAGAAAGGCTCGGTAGCACTCGGAGTGCTCTGCATCTCATATCCGGCTACATACTATGAAACTTATACAGAAGGAGCCCATTCGACTTGGGTCCGAGCCATGCTTGGAATTTGGTCTCCAGTATATTTTTTTTGGAGCATGCGCAGACCGAACTTTGAACAGCTCACATATATATATATATATATATAGGTGGGTAAACGAGAAAGAACAGCTTGCTCGCACTCGGAGTTTGATCATAATTAACATCCCGACTCCGAGTCTGCTCAATTACATCCATATACAAACATCACCCGGTCGACTTGCTGAGCCACGGACAGTCCAAAACAAAATCATTTTCTTCAAAAGTCACAGTCCAAATGATAATAGTGAGCTTTCAGAGAGATGAAATTAAAGTAAGGAAGAAATGACTTGGTTGCACTCGGATGTGCATCTGCATGTCATATCCGTCAATTCTGGTGTGTGGTATATATATCATGCAGACACCACCCGTTCAATTCAGGCCTGAGCCAATAACTGTTACCCTGTGACGGAGAGAGTCGGCTAGGTAGTCGGCTAGAGATTCCGGCACACTAAGATTCTCAAAGCAAGCTGTTGGTTGAACAGCAGATAAGTGGCATAAGTTATGTTATCGACCAAGTTGTAAACTGGACATGTTAGGGGTCAAAATGAGACAGATAAGAATGATGGTAATAGTAAGGAATGTTGCGAGGTGCGGAGCGGCAAGCGGGAGTTACAGCACTTTGCGGAACATAAGGTGCGGCTCATTTTTTTCTACTTTCTACGGTTTCGACTAGAACAGCCGCCACGGGCTGAGTTTTGATCGGATTTTCCTGGGAGTAGGCGCGTTCAAATCGCATTGAAAATCCGCAGAGGATGAAGTACCGGCTTTTTTTTTTAAGTACTACGTAATAGAATTTCTTCCGAAAAATTATGGTTTTGACGTGTTTAACTCGGGCCGGAGCCATGACAGCATTGAGGAATTCTTTTTGAAAATAGTAGAAACAATACCAGGTTTATAAATCCATGAATAGAGGTAGAGAAAGGCTCGGTAGCATTCGTAATTTATGCTTTCCCTCAATGTGGCCTATACAGGAGGAGCCCGTTCAACTCGGGCCCGAGCCATGACCAATTTGTCAAGACCTTTTTGAACATAGTAGAAACAATACCAGGTTTATAAATCAGTGAAAAGAGGTAGAGAAAGGCTCGGTAGCACTCGTAATTTATGCTTTCCCTCAATGTGGCCTATGCAGGAGGTGCCCGTTCGACTCAGGCCTGAGCCATGATTGATCCATGGCAATCTTTTTGAACATAGTAGAAACAATACCAGGTTTATAAAGCGGTGAACAGATGCTCAGAAAGGCTTGGTAGCACTTGGATGTGCCCTGCATGAAATTTATGCTTTCCCACAATGTGGCTATGCAGGAGGTGCCCGTTCGACTCGGGCCTGAGCCAAATCAGTTTGTAGAAATCTTTTTGAACATAGTAGAAACAATACCGGGTTTATAAATTTAAATGGGTGAATAGAGGTAGAGAAAGGCTCGGTAGCACTCAGAATTTATGCTTTCCCTCAATGTTCCCTATATAGCTGATATTCTGACTCTGCTCAATTACATATGCAACCATCATCCAGTCAACTCGGCCCTCAGGAAAGAAGGTGAGTGGGTGTCAGGAATAGGCGGGCTCTCACGGATGCCCCATCCCCAAACTCCAGTCAATCAGCCACTGTACCAAGGTAAGAGGGAGGAGCCAATCCTGAATTAGAGTAGCAGAGTCAGGCGGGGTGGGGTGACGGTATGGAACTTGATTGGTATTTGGGGGCTAGAATAGAATTGGAAGTCGAGACGTCTGAAGGCATAGAATTGCTTTAGGCGTAGATGGAATACATACATACAACCTGAAAAGCACCCAAAAAAAAACACCATTGCGGACCAGAGATGGCTTAGGCCCGAGTCGAACGGGCAGTGTCTGCATGATATATATACCACGCACCAGCATTGACGGACAATTAGGTGCAGATGAACATCAAGCCTTTCTGTACCCACTTCCGTCTCTATATGCTCACTATTATTTGGACTGTGGGTTTCGAAGAAGATGATTTTGGACTGTCCGTGGCTCCGCGCTCAGGCCTCACGGCCGTGAGACCTCTTTTGCTCCCCGTCGCCTGGTCCTCGCTCGCATGACGACAAGTGCGTACTTATGCGTATGTGGTGTATCGACGGAAATACGCACACTTTGAGTGAGGTCGCACTCACGTACCCTGCCCTGCATCCTAGTCAGTGCACTCATCGCGCACCCTTTCCTTTCTCTTTCTTCCTGAGCACAGAAAGCAGAATAATTTATACACGGACAAAGGTACGCACAAAAAGGCTCGGTCGCACTCGGACGTGCACCTGCATCTTATATTACATCCAGCTACTACAAAATTTATGCAGACATCGCCCATTCGACTCGGGTGTAAGCCATCGCCTCAGTGATCACTGTTTTTTTCGGGATGTAAATGAGTGTAGGTTTGTAGAGGGTGAATATAAGCAGAAGGCTCGGTCGTACTCTGCATCTCAGCTACATAATGCGGAATTTAAGCAGAAGGGGCCCGTTTGAGTCGGGCCTGACCCATAGTGCAATCCAATGTGTTTTTGGCTTAGTGTTGATATCCCGATGTTTTTCACATTCCTAGAAAGGGTCACATATGGATATATTGGGGCTGAATACAAGGAGAGACAGGCTTGGTAGCACTCGGATGTGCTCTGCATCTCATGGTTGCGTTGTTCAAGGACATTATGCAGAAGGAGCCTGTTCGACTCGGGCCCGAGTCATGTGCGAATTTGGTATACATTTTTATTTTTTTGGGAGCATGCAGTCTGACTGCAGACTGAAGTTTGAACGATTCACATGCCAGTATATATACTGGTGGGTAAATGAGGGAGAACAGCTTGGTTGCACCATCTCATCATCATAATTGACATCCCGACTCTGCTCAAGTACATGTGCAGCCATCACCCGGTCGACTCAGCCCTGAGTGCTGAGCCATGGACAGTGGACAGCCCAAAATCATTTTTTCCAACACCCACAGAAATATCAGAGAGGTTATAGAGAGACGGTAGTGGGTACAAAAAGGCTTGGTCGCACTCGGATGTGCATCTGCATTGCATATTATCTTATCATCTTGCGCAAATTAGGCAGACATCGCCTGTTTGACTCGGGCCTGAGCTATAGCACTGTTTAATACTGCTTTTGGTATGTAGCCGTCGGACTGGGAAGTTTACACCTATACAGGGTTGGAGGGAGGGAAAGAGAAAGGCTTAGTAGCACTCGGATGTGCTCTGCATGCCATGTGCCGCACTCAATGATCATGCGGAAGAAGCCCCTTCAACTCAGGCCTGAGCCATCATGGGTTTTAAATTGTGGAATGCTTTTTGAACATAGTAGAAACAATACCAGGTTTAAAAATTGGTGAAGAGAGGGAGAGAAAGGCTCGGTAGCACTCAGAATTTATGCTTTCCTTCGCCTATACAGGAGGAGCCCGTTCAACTCGAGCCTGAGCCATCCTTGCTGTGCGCTGTTATTGAATAGATTTTTTTGCATGTGTTTCAGGTTCCAGCTGTCAGACTGTAAGGTTTATATAGGGGTGAAAGTAGGCACAGAAAGGCTTGATAGCACTCAGAGTGCCCTGAAACTGATGTCCCATTTGTGTCCCATTTGATGACTACTTAGTGTGCAGACAAAGCCCGTTTGACTCGGGCCTGGCCGCTTGAGCCATGATTGATCCACGGCAATGATTTTGAACATAGTAGAAACAATACCAGGCTTATAAAGCAGTGAATAGAGGTAGAGAAAGGCTTGGTAGCACTCAGAGTGCCCTGTCTCTTATATTGATCTTGTATGGAGAAGGAGTCCATTCGACTTGGGCCCAAGCCATGAGGCTATCTTGAAATTCTTTTTAGCACAGTAAACATAATATCAGATGTCTCTTCGGAAGAGATGAAAGTAGGTAGAGAAACACTTGGTCGCACTCGCCGTGTTCTGCATCTGATATTGCCTATTCTCTTGGACCTTATGCAGAAGGAGCCTGTTTGACTCGGGCCTAAGCCATGCTTGGATTAATGAATTTGGTCTCCAATTTCTTTTTTTTTGTTGGGAGCACGCAGTCTGACTGCAGACTGAAGTTTGGCTGGTTCACATGTATATGTGTGGGTATATACAGGTGGGTAAATGAGGGAGAACAACTTGGTTGCACTCGAAGTGCTCCGCATCTCATCATATGTAATCAATATCCGGATTCTGCTCAATTATGCAGACATCACCCCGTCGACTCGGGCCTGAGCGCTGAGCCATGGTCAGTCCAAAATCATTTTTTTAAAACCCACAGCCCAACTAATAGTGAGGTTGAAGGCAGGGGAAAAAAAGTGGCTTGGTCGCATTCGGAGTGCCCTGCATTTCGTGTTCAGAGTACAACTTGATTATGTAGACAAAGCCCGTTCGACTCGGGCCTGAGCCATTGCTTTTAGGACGTCTTTTTGAACATGGTAGAAATAATACCAGGCTTATAAATGGGTGAACAGAGGTAGAGAAAGACTTGGTAGCACTAAGAATTTATGCTTTCCCTCAATGTGGCCTATAACGCACCTTTAAGCTCCACATTGCGTGGATTCCCGGCCACAAGAATGTCGAGGGGAATGAGGCGGTGGATGCAGAGGCCAAGAAGGCTGCACAAGGCGAGTCTTCCGAGCTTCCCCACACCCTTCGCACCTTGCACAACCTCCCCGTTAGCAACAGCAGCTCTCCGAGACAGAGGCCAGGGCACACGGACACTACAGCACTGTGAAAACCTTGCGTCTGCAGGTCGAGCACACGAAATCTATTGCAGCTGAGTTCAAGCGACTATACGAGCTTATCTGCGAGTGGAAGTGTAAGGAGGATGGCGCTTTCACACTGGATGCATGATGTGTCTTCCATTTATTTGTTTGGGCTGGCTGTTCCGAAGCTAAGGTGGGATCCGCAATTCGAGCCCTACTCGAGGAAGTTGGAGTTGTGGTCTGGCACCTCCCTAGTGCACGGTCCTTACAAAGGGCTATCAAAGAGGGGGGAGAATTCGGCCTGATTCAGCTGGGCTATGGGATTTCACAGGCCGAAAGTGAGTTTTTTTTTCATTTTTGCCCTTCTATTTATCCGTTGGTGCTTGGTGAGTGCAGGCTTCGGAGTGAGCACTGACGGCACCTCGCACCGAGGCATTACGAGGGAAGGAACCCACCTCAGCTTGAAGGCTGCCTCATACCAGGACGGTAACGATTTAACGAACCCCGCCAACCACAAATGGGTCACACGCGTTGTCGGTGTTGAGAAGGAGCTTGATCGCACGGCTGCAGAGCAGCATCGCGGTTTTGTTAACACCGCCAACTGAATCGTTTCATCCTACGCAGGCAGCCCTCTGGCTAAATGGCTGAATGACAACCTCACTTGGTGGGTGAGGCCGACGCTTTGCGCAGGTCGAGTACTTATTTATTATTTAATTTTGGAACATGGAAAACCGGCGAGCGCCAAAACACTGCCAACATGGTGGCTGTGTTCGGCCATCATTTGCCGAGATGTTCTCCGCATGATGATTGTATTGCCATCTGTTTGGCTTTCCTTTCCTGCTGCTTACTACCACCTTCGGCATCGCGCCCAGACATCGCACGTCGACTCTATTATTATACTTATTCTACCACGGCAAAACAAGCTCTTGTTCCCGTGGTGGGCTGATGACCCCAGTAGCTTTCACAGCGCGCCAAGAGCAGGATCATATTGGGTGCTTTTACGCAAGCATGGTACAATCGCGTCCTCAGTTAGTGTTGGCCTTAAGGTCTAGGGCCTTGGAGTAAGCCTTAAAGATTCCGAGAATTTTGGGTGGCCTTAGAGGCTTTAGCGCGAATGCGGACCAGAATTTTCAATTCCGCACGCCAAGCCAGATCATCAATCATTCATCATTATTGCTAATTTTTTTTCAGCTCCGTAATGTCGTCTGCCAACTGGACTTCAAATCCACTGGTCAAAAAACAGTTTCACAAAGGCACGGCGCCATACAACACGAGCCACTGGACAACACACTGTACACTACCATTTAAACCCCCTCAGAGAAGAGCGGCGTCGACTTGGGAGCCTTCCCGATGCTGCCACACGCTTCCTGGATGATACATAAATATTTTGCTCCTGCGGACTGTTTATTCAAATTATTTACATAAAGCCCAATCACAATAATTGTTATTTTTCTGTGCTTTTGCCATGAACTGAATATTGTGAACCCAAAAAAAAACTGAGAATCCAAGAAAAGCCCTTATGCCGGAGCAAAGTAGGGGCATTACAAAGTATTATTATGACACAATGCGGGTGAATTAACTGACCAAAGTGTAGCTTGTCGATGTTACGTCCATGGACATTGTACAAGAGCGGCCCGGAATGTGCAGGCAATTCACCGA